CCAAAACAGGAAATGCCCTGACTTTCAAAGTGCAAAAAACCCCCTACTACTCCCCCATGCAGTCACAGGGCCAGGCCTCTAGCCCAGCCTTCCCCCCTGGTCCCCCCCATGCACACAAGGGACTCACTGAAGAACAAGGGGCCAGAGGGCTCCAGCCAAGCTGGGGCTTGAACCCACAACCTTTGCCACCTAGGGTAGCACCCTTACCACTGCAGTACCAGGGAAGGTGGGAGCTCCTGCTGCCGTGGGCCCCTTGTGGCGCAGCGCCCAGGCCCTGCCATGGAAAGAGGACGGCACCTCTCTGCAAAACAGGGGAGGTCAGGACCTGAACCCAGGCCCTCAGCACCCGCACAGAGGCCCAGCACCACGCACCACAGGGCCTGGCTGGCTCAGCCCCTCACTTCTGGGCCCCTTGACTCGTTCCCTGTGCACACGCGCTGGCCCCATGACAAGGGCAGTCCTGGGAAGGCCACAGCCCAGCCAGCCTTGTGGCCAAGGCCCCGCGCTGCCAGGCCGGGCCTGCAGGTTTGACTCTGTGCAGGGGCAGCGTCCTCTGGGCCTGGCTTTTGCTCTTGTTTTCCCCACCCACTGCAGGCCGAGGGCCATCATATTTGCCATGCCCGAGAGGACTTGTTGCAGCCGCCTGTGTTCCAGTCCATAGACACTGGGCTGGAGGCTGAGAGGTCGGCCTTTGCCTTTGTTTCCCACCACGGGAGCTGCCTGGAAAGAGTGAAGCCGTGCGCACGTCCCTGTGGGCCGTGGGCACCGGTCTTCTCTGGCTGCTCATGAGGGACCGCTGTGGGGTCCCGACTCCTGTACGACCCCAGACCCCAGCCCAGGGGTGCAGAGAAGGGGGGCTCGGAGGCCTCCAGCCACAAGGGAATCGGGACCCCCAGCCCGTGCTGTGCAGCACCGTGCCCCCAGCTCTGGGGGAGGCCTGGGCTTGCGGGGGAGCGGCGGCCTCAGGCTGCACTCGGGGAGCTGAACAGCCGTGTCCTGCACCGCTCAGATATATCTGGGAAGGCCGCCTGCCCAAATACCCTCCCCCGTCTCCACACACACGCACGTCTCTCTAGGGACACCCTCCCCCGTCTCCACACACACACACACACACACGCACGCACGCACGCACGCGCGCGCATCTCTCTAGGGTTGCCATATTGCGAGGTGCAAAAAAGAGGACACCTGTCACCGGGCGGGGGAGAGGAATATGATAGGGGGCAGTGACATGCCATTGCCCTGCCTCTTCCCAGTCTTTTGCTCCTCACTGACAAGACACATCCCACCCCCAGCCCTGCTGTTGCCCCTCAGTCCAGACCCACTGACCCCAGCACTGCCAGTGCCCCTCACTCCCAAACAGCAGTACCCTGCTCCCCTCCCCTTGCTGGTGCCCCTCAATCCCGACCTGCAGCCTCCTGGTGCTGCCAGTGCCTTGTACTCCCACCCCAGTCACCTGTCCCGTTCCCCGTGTCCCCCACTCTTGATCCACAGCCCCCTTCCCCCCACCTAGCCCTGGCGGTGCCCCTTGCTCCTGACCTGCAGCCCCCTGCCTTGCCCCTGAGTCCTGTGGTGCCTCTCACACCCCACCTGCACCCCCCCAGCAGCTTAGGCACTGCCTTTCACCCGCGATCTGTGACCCTGCCTCTCCCGACACCTACTGGTGTCCCTCACTCCCACCCATGGGTCCTCCTACCCAGTACTGCCCCTCACCCCTGACTACATTGCTCTCTCACTCTCTGTCCCATCCCTTGGCTGTTTGTTGCTGGTCTTTGGCTCTCCTGTAAGGTGACTGGCTGCTGGGATCACAGGGTCACTTTACCCACTGCTCCCAGCTGGCCCCCGAGAGCAGAGGAACAGCAAAAAACCCGGGCACTGGCTCTTATTTTCAAAACCCACCCAGACGCAGAGCAGGGGACCAAAAAAGAGGACATGTCCAGGAAAACCCAGACATATGGTAACCCTGTAATATCCTTGTCTCTGTGTGCATGCACACGTACACACACACAGTTACTCTTTCTCTCTCTCTCTCCCTCCCTCATTGCACACCCTTGCAACACACCCTCCTGCTCCTAGCCCCAGGGTACCCACGTGGTCCCTGCGCTCCCATGGTCCAGCGATGCAGCCACGTGCACGGAAGCAGTGAAACCTGCAGCAGGCAGAGACTTCCAGGTTGGGAGGACTAGGAGGGAGGGGGTGGGGCAGGGCCTTGCTGGTGAAGCCTCCTGGTTTCCCCTGGCTCCTAGTGCCCCTGGCTCCTGTCATCTTTGACAGGCAGCCTGGAGCAGATAAATATTAATTTTATAATTTTCTGAAGGGCCCTGCAGGCCAGAAAGAATGACCTGGTGGGCTGGATCCAGCCCAGGGGCCATATTTTGCCCACCCCTGCACTAAGGGATGAAGTGACTTTCCTGAAGTCACAAAGGAAATCCAGGAACTGACACCAGCTCTCCCAAAAGCCTTGCCTAATACTTGAACCACAAGGGCCTCCTGGCTCTCCCAACCCGCTCTGACACAAGCACTGGACCAGACGCCCCAGCTCTGACATGCTGACAGGCGAAAATACAGCTGAGATCACATATTTGGTGAATTGTTTTGGTTGCTGCCAGGGCCAGGCCCAGGCCCAGGCCCAGGCCCAGGCCCAGTGTGAGGCACAAAACTTTGGACCAAAACTCATCGCTTCATGTATTAAAGTAAGAGGCAGAGTTGCACTTGAACATTTAATACATTGGGATGTTTAGGAATGTTGCAGGCTGATTTTGTGGCTTTTCTTTGCAACAGTAATAAGTCATCAGACTGGTATGTGTCTTGGGCCCCTAGACAAGTATGTTTTATTTTTGTATTTGATTGCAGTGAAGCAGTGGTACTTTTCAGTGTGGTTCAATGTTTCTGTGATCTCACCACAGTGCTGGGATGTGATTCAATAACTTGTGATCAATCCAACATATTTTATTTTCTGTTTTATTTTTTCCCTCTAGGGCCCGCAATATGAAGTCAGCTCAGGTTGTGTTGCTAAACAAAAAAGTCAAAGCAAAACCCTAATGCAAAAATAAATAATAATAAAAGAAACCAGACATTTTTTTTTAATAAAGGAATGTCTCATTTAAAAAAAAAATCTGAAATGCCTTTTCATTTTTAAATTAGCTTTAACTGAACACCTCCCCAAAATGCAAGCCCAAGTTCCACTCCAGGTAGAATGCAATGTTTTGTTCCACTTGAAATCTTTTTCCAGCTGGCTAAAAAATTGGCAAAATTGGGCAAGAAATTATTTTTCGAATTTTTTGCTGAAAAGACCCCCAATTATTCGTACAGTTCCAAATGCAAGTGAGTATTCCCTTCTCCTAGGAAGGGAGTGAACATGAGAGCAGATGGCACAGTAGGCAAGTGCTGTTCTTTTGCAATCTCGCTAGAAGAGACAGACTGGAAGGAGAAGCAATATGAGAAGCTGAAGTGAGAACTGACAGTTCACCCAAGCTGCTTATGGATTGATTGCTTTTCTCCCCTGTCAAAAATCTGATGAAAACCCAAACTTTTCATTTTCTTCCAAATTCTTCTTGTGGTTAAGAAAATGCAAAAGACTGATTCCCCTCCCCTCCTCCATTTTGACACCAGAAAATTGAATTTCTTTTCAATGCAGGGGGTTTGTTTTTTTGCTCAGAACCTAAAACTGAGAAAATAATTTTTGCAGAACTTCTAATTTTCTGTCGCAACACCACTTTTTTTTATTGGGGGAAAATGATATTTTGATGAAAAAATATCGACCAATTCAAGCAAGCATGCTAAAAACAAACATTTTTGCCTATTTAGAGGAGCAACTGTCATACAGGTTTTTTTTCCTTCTGTTGCTCTATTGCTAGTGGTTGACAAACACTGCATGCCATTGACACTTTGTCAGAAAATGTCTGGTTTCTTGGGGTTTGGAAGACGCTTGGCCAACAAACTGGGCACGTAGGGAGATGCAGCCTCTTTCAAGCGTGAGGCATCCTGTTCTGCCCACGCCTCCCAGAAATGGCTCAAATATTCAGTGCAACTTATAATGAAATGCAAAAGAGGGCTAAAACTCACCATTGGAGTCCTCTGTTCCTCTTGGAATATTTGGGTTTTCTAGTTAAAATAAAACATAGAAACAGAATTAGATGCTAAACCTAGATAAGGCAGCATAAAAAGGAGCTGTATGTGCACACTTGTCTCTTGGCATGGGACACTATTAGTGTTTCCTTTGCACCATCGTGGCACTTTGCCTTCTGCAAGAAGAAAATCCCAATGTTGGGGGGCCAACAGAGCAAGGAGCCCTGTGAAAGTTAGCTGCGAACTCCTGGGACTTGTTGCATTTCATTAGCGGGAACTGAGCCTTGTCTCTCGTGCAGATCAGAGACCCAAGGGCTGATAAATCAGGAGCTTTCTCCTTTTCCTCAGCTTTGGGCCTTTTCCTCATTCATCAGTTAAGAACAGTTTCCAGATCCCCCTCTCTCCTCTGGATGGCCATGTCTTGAAAAGGCCCCTTACACTTTCTAATGACAGTCACACTCCAACTTCCGTGCAGCACGGAAGAAGTTGGGCGTGAGCTCTTGTTTGCAGGGAGTGATGGATTAATGAAGCGTGCTGCGCTGCAGAAATAGGGGGAGAGGGTGGAGAGTCATAGCACCCTGGCACTGGCAGAGCCACCAAGCCTACTGGTGTAATATTGGTGGTATTGGTGGAATAAGGCTATTGTGAACAAGCTAGAGGTACACAAGAGGTAGGGGCAGTCTTCCCCAAAAATATGCTACATACCAAACACTATCAAATATGCTACATACCAAACACTATCAGCCTGGTGTGGGTGTCTGTGGACCCTAGCGGGTTCTGCGCGGTGCAGCGGTACATGGAGCCGTTTAACTCGGCCGGCACTCTCTCCAGGACCAACTCCTTCCCGTCATGCTCGGTGCTACCATCGAGGAGCCTGCTCCCAACACGGGTCCAAGTGAACAAGGGCTCAGGGAAGACTTCATTCTGCAACCCAAGGGGGAAAACACATCTTTACAAGTGATTTTTACTACAAGGAGCAACAAACTTTATAGCAACCTCCACTGCCCCCCCTATGCTAACAGAATATCAGCGACAGAGACATTAGGGAACACACTGATTTTCTCAAAGAACCATAAGGTCACAGAGGTTTAAGGCCAGAAGGGCCCATTAATCTAGGGCAGTGGTTTGCAATCTTGTTTTTCATTGGTGGACCCCTAAAAATTTCGAATGGAGGTGCGGACCCCTTTAAATTGTAAGTGTGGGTATTCGCATACTTTGGACTGACCATAGTCATCTTTTGCACACCCCTTAGCCATAGTCTGCGGACCCCCAGGGGTCCATGGAGCACAGGTTGAAAACCACTTATCTAGGGCTAGTTTAGACTACAAAGACTTGGGGGGGTCAGTTTTATCAGCATTGCCTTCAGGTGGAGGCAGGCATGGGTTACAACACCATCTTCCCAAAATAATGTAAGCAGTCCTCACGATGGGACCCGTTGGCACTGGAGTTGTGAACGCCAGGGGGAATTTTGCCAGAATAACCATGTCCGCTAGGAACGTGCTTTGTTCACACTTCTCACCGACACACTCATGCTAGCTAAACTTTTCAGGGACTCAATGGTTTCCAAGCATGTTAGAGACTCTCCAAGTGGAAAAACAGACTGGCCTTGGTCATCACTGCAATGCTAGAGCTCAGCAGGAGGGGCTCGCTATACTGCGTCTGTGTAGGCACATGGGCACTAGCCTTCCTCTTGCAGGAGCAAGGATGTGGCTGGGTGCCTGAGTAAGGCTCCCTGGAGGCTTGTGCCTTTCTTGCGGTGGGTATCTGGGCAAGCTAGATAAAAGCTAGCCGGAGTCTGTCTACACCAGCTGCAATCACTCTGCTTGCCTTCAGCATAGGCATCCCCTTAGAGGTGCTCAAAAGGCGGAATAAATTAAATGGCACTTGCTTAGATTTTTTAGCTTGCTTAGCTGTGTTAGCCACAGATAAAAAGGCATTAAGTAGATCACAAAGCCTCGATACACCATGTGCAGTTACAGGCATGAGATACAACTTAAAAGATAGCAGGGTGTGTGTGTGTGTGTGTGCCGCTTTGCACCTTGAGCCTGTGCCAGGTGGGCAATGAGTGCTACCAACCGGAGGAGCTGGAAGACGACTGGCAACCTCTTTATAACAAGGCTGGTGATCGCAAAGGACATCAGGCACTGGCGAGTTTAGCCTCTAATGACAAACTGCTTAACCCATTTGGTGATTTTTAGTGGCTTGTCTTGGGGAGGAATGAGGGTGTTTTCTAACCGCCTCCTGGATCATCCAGGCTGACTGACACAAGGGGAAACCGCAACCTCTTGCCTCCTGTTAAAACTATAAACTGCTTTGCCTGGACTTCTGGTTGTGAGCATTAGTTAAACACACACCTTTCTTTCCTGGTGAGGACCCCCCCAGTTATAAAGGCCACATATTTAGTCTAGGGGGAGAATACCCCTGCCTCTGTGCCAGTAAGTCTCAGGCTAGGTTCATAATTTCTTTTCCAATCATTTCAAAGTATAAATAGTCTGGGCTGGAGATGTACAGAAGTGTTGGCAGTTGTTGAGTGAAGTGATTTCAATTACAGGAAATAGCCTTTGACAAGAAATCAATTTTTAATTGAGAGAAAAAAGCCAGTTTCAAGAGCGGAGGATGTAACCAGGAGTGCAGAAGAACTGGACACCTTGTTTATGTGCAACCGGTGCAACTGGCCTTGCCTGTCAAGTAACCGGGCACGTAACTGCCATCATTACCCATTTGCACGCGCAGTTTCTTGCTGCGCGCATGGAGCTGCGCAGCCTGCCAGCAGGCCAGGAGCTGCTCAATGGCATGACCCGCTTTTGATACCAATTCAGCCCTGAAATCAAACCCGACCCGTGCACGCCACTTCGTCAAACAGAAAGAAAAGCTCTCTGCTCCTTTGTGAGTCTTGATAAGTCTGCTGCAGTGGAAGCCTTGGCACGCAACGGGCGCCTATCGCCATTTGCCAGTGCCACCGATACCATTGCTACGCTGAAGTGCTCAGACTGGGAGGAAGCCTGCCGACCTGGAAGCCCTGTACCAAGATCCGAACGGTGTCTCCAACCCGGGCTCTTGATGGGGTCATCATGATCTTTGGGCCTTTGGGAGCAACTGTAGAGAAACAGGAGAGTAAGAGAATAGATGTCAACAGAGCTTCGAGGCCCAGCAAAGACAAGTGCTTTTCCAAAGAGAGCTCTTGTCTCAACTGAGGCACGTGGGGAAGAGTCGTTGAGGTGATCGAGACCCATCCAGTGGGAGTGCAGCCTAAATGCCCAGATTATGCTGTAATTAAACCAATGGCTGTGTGCCTGATAGATGGATGGGTAGTCAGATGCCTACATGATGCATGGACAGCCAGACAGATAGACAGCTACTTTCATGACTGATAGATGGACAGACGTTTCTTTAGGTGACTGATAGGCAAATACCTTCAAGACGATAAATGGATAGACAGATTCCTACGTGATGGATAGGCGGATACCTGCATGAGACAGGCGGAAAGGCAGATATTCATGTGCTACGCACCCCTGCGTGGGATCACTTGCTGGGCAAGTAGATTTTTATTACATATTTATTCAAATGATTCTTTTTCTAAAATCAATCAAACATTTCCTGCGGCACCAGAGGCGGACAGGAAAGCTGGGAAATGGTTTAAATTAAAAAATATTTTTTTTTTTTAAAAAGGAGCCTCTCCCAGAAAGTCCAGCATTTCTCTGGGACCACTCGGGCTTTCCTCTCCCCACTTGAAGACGCACAAGAATGAACATATGAGATTCCCATTTTGATCCATGGCAACATGCCCTTTGATTTTAACAGGGAAAGACCAGCCTTTAAAACAATCCCATAGATAAAGGAATACCCAGCTTTGCTTACCATAATTTTTCAGGGTTTTTTTCACCCTTTTCCTCCATTCCCTTTTATTTATCCTCCTTGTCTTTCCTCCCTTCTGCCCTCTCCTTACCCCCTTTCTTTTCGACTAGGGAAGCCTCAGATACCTCCAGAAAGTCACCCTCAGATGTTGCATTAGGAAGTCTCTCGAGGCACAGAGCCGTCTCTGAGCTGCTCTGCACCACCCAGCGATGCCAACCCTGCCACTCGATTCAATGCCTCCTTCCCCCTTCCTTGCACACTGGCCAGCTTCTGCAGCAGGAGGCTGCTCATGGAAAGCTGGCATCGTGCGGCGCCCTCCTCTCCCAGCACCAGCCCAGCGCCCATCCCCTTCCCCCTTGCCAAGATCACGGTTTCATTTGTAGTGACTGAAAACCTAGTTAGTTATTATTAAAAGAAGGAAAGCGGTAACCCTCCAGGCACCCCGACTGTCACCCAGTGGAGGGAGAGGGCTTACTTGCTAATTAGCACCCTGTGATGGACGGGGCTTCGTCTGCAGCAGGAACGGATGTCCTGGAAGAGACCAGGGACAGAGCCAAAGGTGCAGCTGCAAAGGTGTGCTATTGCCAGGGCAGCATCATGCCAGCTCCTCAGCCCCTGCCACCTTGCTTCATACCACCAAGGGTGTTTCAGGGTCAAGACCAAGCAGCCACCGTGCACAGAGGAGGTGCCTCAATTGTACCATGCCCGTTTCGCTGGAAGCCCGGTTCCCGGTTGACACAGCGATTGGCTGACCGTTCGATCGGCTCCGTGCGTCACCGGCTCCGGTGCTGTTGCCTTGCCTTGTTAGCACCAATCTCAAGGGCGGGGTAGCAGGAAAGAGGCTCAGTGCCATGGCCGGCTACATGGGAGTGCCAGCACCGGGCCTTCCCTTGGGCTTCTTGCTGTGCGGGCATGGAGAAGGCACGTGTCTGCTGTGATGGGAGTTGTCTTATCTTTTGCTGGTGCACAACAGTGTAGCGCTGATAGTTGGCCCTCCCTTTCCTTGGATAGCTGGTGGTGGTGCGATGGCCGTGGGGACTTCTTCCGTGCCGTGGCAAGAGGGCGAGCGAAACCCTTCTGGATGAGCACCGTGCCTCCCAGGGGCTTTAAAAGTCACATCCCTCTTTGTCTGGTACTTTCACAACAGGGTAACTCAAAATCGCACCATCCAGCTCTGGCAAGTCGCACCTCCTCCACCTCTGCAAGTCGTGCAGCTTTCACCCACGGTGCTCCCATTTCCCGACCCGTGTTTCCTGCCACCGCCCTGATGTGCCCCAGCGCTCCCACGCGGCAGCCCGCCTCCCCAGCACTTTGTCAACACACCTGGATCCTGACCTAAAAGACAGCCTCCCTCCACACACGTGTACATACATGAGAGATTATCACAAGGCACAACAACCCGCTTTCTGGCCCAAACCAGTCAGTGGAAGGCTGCATCTGTGCCAGATGTGAGACCTCCAGGATCTGCTTTGCAGAGGTGTAGTCTCCCATCCCTAAGAGAGATGGGCTCTCTGCTCTTCTCTACTTCAGACTTGCAATGTCTCATTCTGGGCCACCAAAACCCCTGTTCAACCTCGGAGTGGCCTAGGGTCATCGTAACAAGGCTGTTTTGCAAGCCAGAGCTCTAGGAGGGTTGGACCCGAGGTGGTTTTACAAAGCTGTATGGGGAGGTCACGCTACTGTGTGTGTGTGCATGCATGTGGGTGCGTGTGGGGAGAGGGTAGGGTGTCTTTTAGGTCAGGATCCAGGTGTGTTGACAGAGTTGGCAGAGAAGCCAGCAGTGGATTCGCAAGGAAGTCTGCTGGGCAATCCCGAGCTGCCCTGGTGAGCCGGAGCCCAGGAAGGTCAGGACTGACAGTATCAGCACAATTGCATCTGTCCAGCACATCTTGGCAGTGCCGTGGGAAACTCCCACCTCCCGCATGCCCTGCTCCATTGCTACCCGGTGATCAGAGTTGCACAGGAGCTCCAAGTCAAGCTTTCTTCTTTGCGCTTTCCAAAGCCGAGGCTTGCTGAGCAGCTGGGGTACCTGTTCTCTTCTCGGCGGTGGCGCGACTGTGATTTCTGGCTGCTGTGTCCCCTGCATTCCCACACCTGCAGAACCCAAATCAGTTCCCTTCCAGGAGCCAACAGAAGAGCATTTATAAGGCACCATGATGAATAAATCAGAGCCAGGGAGAGGCCCGGGCCCCGCCTGGCCTGTTTTGTATGATTGCTTCTGGCAGGAAATTTATTTTAAATGTTTCCTTGAAATACAAATGGCACCGGGCAGGGACGTCTGGAGACGTGGAGCCTCATCTGCAGTCGGGTCGATGAGGGCTGGCTGAGGCCTCTAGCAAGGGCGACAGGCCCTGGTGCATTTGCAAGCAGTGAATTAAGAGCCATTGTTTTTTTTTTTTTTACAGGGACCGTGAATCCTCTGCTGTCTGACACTGCAAATGGCACCTGGTTTAGCTTTGCCCCTTTAGCAGGGAACATCTGGTGCCTGGTAACATATGGGTCCTTTTAGCTGGTGAACAGACATCCGTACCCACCAGCGAATTGGCCTGCTGACTGCACCGCGGTGGAATCCGTCCTGAGGAGTGAATCACAAAGCCTCAGATAACACGCTCGGGCTCTGGTCTCTGGAGCCGGCAGGCACATACGGTCCCCAGCAGCTGAGCAGCCCTCTGCTTTCCTGTCAATTGAGGGCATTTCTGCAGGGCTTCTGTGGTGCCCGTCTCATCCCGCATTGCTGTAATTATAGTAGAGACGTATTGGAGGCCCTGCAGAGACATGCTTACAGCTATCAACACATCTGACTTAGGAACAGGCCCCACCAGACCAGGTTTGGCCAGGGCTGAAGATGAAGGTGTATGAGTGACGGGGCAATGACAGAGCCATGTGGACCAGGAGGAGGTTTCTTTCAAACCCCCATCAATTAATCCCTGAAAGTGGATGATTTCACCCCAATTTTTCCTCCACCGCATGTGACCATGGGTATGCTCCGCTGGCACATAACCAGTGCCGAGTCCTTGCTCTCAATGAGGATGTGTGCACTGCTCATCTGCTCCTGGCATGTCCTGGCAGGATTGCTGCATGCCCTGCTCATCTGCTCCCACTCCCACGTATCAAACCCAAAAAGCCAGCTGCTGCAGGGCATCCTCAGAGCCTCCTCTCAAGCACATTGGACATAAGGGGATGTCCTTGGTGTGACTTCACTGCTGGACATCCAGCGTGATGCATGCAAGCAGGGGCGGGTGGGGTGCGCGGTAAGGAGTGTGTCCCCGCTGGGACACACCATGGATGTAGTGTAGACATGGCCGGTAACACCTGGTGGCCGCACATGTAGAGGTTGGTTATGCTTTGTGTAAAAATGTACTTCATTTTACCTTTCAATTCTCACATCTGCAATGTGAAAGGATGGAGACGAGCCCCTCTGTGACCTTCTCTGTACTGCTCATCACTTGTTACAGCTCTAGCAGATGCAATTCCTCTCCTTTTCTGCCAGCCCCATCATCCGATCTACTTAAACTATGCTCTTGTCCGGTGTTTTGCTGGCCAGCAATCAGCTCCTTAAGCCCCTGTCTTACGTTTGTATTTGCTGGAGTTCTTGCTCTTTATTGTTGGCTTCTCTTCCATTTCCTGAAGGAGTCTCTGTGGCTCAGATAACCACTTGCCCTTTGACATTTAACCATGCTGCTATTTTCCTCATCTCCCTGCTTCTTTGACGCTGTCGTAGCTCTGTGCAAAGTTTTCAACTTCTGTACGGTGTTGATTGTACTCGGCACCTCCGGAAACCAGACCCACGGATGTTCATTTCCCCTCCAGCATAGGGCAGACCCGTGAGCTGGCTCCTGCCCTTCCTGCTTCTCCACTGCTGGATGCCGTCCTCTCCTGGGCCCCTCTCTTCCACTTCTCCTCTTGTTACCTGTCAGAAGCACTGTCAGATTTCATCCCTTCTAAAAACAGCACAGCCTCCCAGAGTGGTTTCTTTTGGGGGAGGATCTCAGTTCTCCAGGACCCGAAACTCCAGTTACAAGGCCTTTAAGGTTGCCTGAGTGCTGATGCAGTGTCTTATGGCTGCAGCTCATATGCCACCTCTCTGTCGCTGCAGCTGGATGTCCTAGTATTCATTCACTAGCCAGGAAATTCTCACTGCCGTTCTAGTTCCTTATACTCCCCCGAAAAGTGCAGCTCAGCAGAGCTGGGTTCAAAGCGACCCCTATAAATTGTCAGGTCAGAGCGAGCCCATTGCAGCG